GGGGGGGGGGGGGGGGGGCACCCTGACCCGCAATGTGAACAGAAGTTTGGAATATACAGTTATTGACAATACTCTGCTCAGTTATCTGAAAAGACATCAGACTCTGTTCACAGGCAGGAGTGTTGCCAAACTGCCACGTTGACAGCTGAACATAAACAGGGGAAGCGCACCACCCCGACCTCATTTCCAATAGGGCAGAAAAGGCAAAGCCGGTGTCTCCCGATCAGAAAATTAGAGTGAATTCCAATCGCATATGGCTAAGGGAAACAGCACATGTTTTAAATTTAGAAGCTAATATAATAAATGAGCTATCTGCTGGAACGGATTAGAGGTACAGACCCGTGGAAAATACAGCGCAAATTTCAGATGCTTTTCTTGTGAAATTAGTCACCCAGTTAATGACACACAGGGCAGCTGGATTCTTGCACAAAAGAACCCATAAGAAATATTGCCCGGTTTGCACTTCATGTTCCAGGAACACGTTCTGCTTTTAGGATGGAGTGGAATTGTATTCAAGGGTCATCCTAACTCCCTCCGACATGGTCCCCTACCCAGCTGAAGCCTGATAGCTATTCAGCTCCATCAAGAACCATCTTCTGAGGTGGCTGCTTGGTGAGGGCAGGGCTGCCACTGGAGAGTCCACTAGGCTGCCAAGGATTGCCGCTGAAGTTCACAAACCTGATCTATAATCAGGTTTTCAACAGCTGAATGCTCAGCATCTTGGCTCAAATGTCCAGTGTTTCTACCTTTACAAGGTTCAGGTGTCCAGATGACCATAGGTCCAGGGCTTAAAGAGGAGCAGAGACGGACACGGGAGATCACGGGAAAGGCCACTGCCCCAGCAGCACCCTTCCTGCCCCACCAGACACAGGTCAGGGCTGCCTGGAAGGAACAAAGGCTCAGACCCGTGGACACGGAGAATCTGATGTGCTTCCCTCAGATCAGTGTCGACTTCTGAATTTAGGTTCACAACCGTAGCCCGGGGAGGGCCACAGGGCAGTGGCACCCTGGGATCATGCACAGTCAAGAATTGGGTTTATCTTCTGGGGCCACATTTTCAGAGGGAGGGACGTTGCAAAGCCAAAGGGCAGTGACAGAAAGTGTCCTGGCCAATGAACTGAAATCCAAGTCAGAGGAAAGAAGGAAGGGTCAGGAAAGAAGGATTATTTCCAGTTTAGAGAATCTCAAGTTCTGTCCTCCAGAAGAGGGCTTAGCCTTAAGTATGTCAGAAGTTGGCTGATTTTGCAGCAACACAAATACCTTCCCAACAAGTTGTACCGTCTCACCAATAGCTGCCTTGAAAACTACTTAAAGAAGTTTGCGTAGGTGGATTCATTTCCTGGGCCCGTGTAACAAAACAGCACACACTTGGGGGTTTAAAACAACAGAAGTTTCTTCTCTCACAGTTCTGGAGGGCAGAAGCCCACCATCGTTATCACTGGGTTCAAGTCCAGGTGTCGGCAGGGCCAGGTTCCCTGCGGAGGCTCTAGGGGAGACCCCTTCTTTGCCTCACCTTTCTTCTGAGGGCTGCACGGATCCCCTGGCTCGTGGCCACATCACTCCCATCTTCAAGGCCAACATCTTCAATCCTCTCTCTGTTCCCTCTTCATGTGGCCTTTTCTTCTGTGTGTGTGCAGTGTGTCCTCTCTCCCGACTCTCTCTTGTGATCGCATTCAGGCCCCACCTGGATAATCCAGGACAATCTCTTCTTGAGATCCTTAACTTCATCACACCCACAAAGACCCTTTTTCCAAATAAGGTCACATTTCCAGGTTCCAGGGATTAGGAGCTGCTATCTTTGGAGGTCATTACCCAGTCTGTTGCCAGTGATGGGACAGTTTAGGAGTACAGCATGGGAACTTTGTCATTAGTTATTGGACGGCTTTGCCATTTACTCTCTACTTGACCTTTCTAGGCCTCAGTTTCATCCTCTGTAAAATGGGATCATAGTACAATAGAACCTATTACCTGGTATTGTTAGAAGGGCTGTGTGGAATGACATGCCTGCTGCCACAGCACTCAGCCAACGGCAACTCTAAGTGTGTCACTGATAGCCTGGCTGGCAGCGTGATGCATGTAGCAGGAGGGGGTGCCCATAGCGCCATGGGTGTCCCCACAGCCCCGTGTCCCCACTGCTGCTACAACACTGGCCACACTGGCTTGGACGTCCCATGTGTGTGTCTGGCATTGCTGTGGACCTTAATCCATCCTTGTTTCCATCACTGTGCTGGATACATAGTAGGTGCTCAATAAATGTCAAACCGTATGAAATTGCCACTGTGGTTGGTCAAACACGGTTGAATCCGGACAATTGTAAACGTCTCAAGGTAATAAATTGGAGAAAGAGCTACACAAATGTTCGGCTGTAGCGATCTCTGCAGGGAGGACTTATTCCTATGGATGAGAGGGCCACACGCCCACAGCGCCTTAGCTGCAGGAACCATGGGCAGACGGCAGCTTCTGCGGATGTTTCTGAGAGTTTCATAGCCATCAAAACGACCCTGTTGGTGGCTCCTTAGCCAACTCCTTAGCCCAGTGTTCTAGGGACCCTCTGGCATCTTAATTTAAACAGTGAATATGTCTCCAGCCAGCCTGATACCCTCTCAGACTTCCTAAACGCCAGCCCTGGGGTTCTTTCCAACACCTAGGGGACCCTTTCTATTTTAATTCCCCTTAGCATGGAGGCACTCGTGCTTGTAAAGGGCCACACACAGGCCCGTTGCCGTTCCACATCGAGTGATGCCTGAATGGCAACCAGGAAGTGGGGCTGCAACCCCGTTGCGAGCTGGATGCGGCTGCCCAGGCCTCAGGCCTCGTTCTCAGCCTCACTGTCCTATTTGCCAGGTGTCGTGTGGCCACCTGCGGGGTTGAAAGAATGTTGGGTGTTGTGTGGTTTGCGTGAATCAGAACATTCAGTGCTTTTAGCAGATTTTTAGAAAAGTTGTAACTTTTCCTTACTTTCTCAGTGACACGTTCCTGGGGACAGACTGAAAAGTTACATGGTTATTAGACCCCCAGAAGGTGACTGTCTTGAGTTCATGGTCCCAGTGGCCGGGAGGTGGGGATGAGACCCACGGTCTCAGGGCCTGAGCTGCTGGCCAGTCCTCGGCTGAAACAAAGGACAGAGTCGTAAAGAATGAAAATCACTTGTGAGACAAAGGCACAGAAAAATACTGGACAATTCAGTGAAAAGGACAAACGCGTCTCCTTCAAAGTACACACTACCTCTGCATGCAAGGAGAGTTTTCAGGAAGCTGCAAGAACTTAGATGGAGGGAGGGTTGGGCTCACCTGTCTCTCCAGCATCCACCAGTTTATACCCGTGCTTTGTGGGGGCCTGCAGGTGCTCACGGTAGGGGAGCACTGCGTCACCAGTCTTGACCCTGAGCCTCTTGGCAGCCAAGGCAAAAAGGGAAATGGGTTGAATTGTGCCAATTTTAATTTTTACTGAAAAGAAGCGTACACATTTGTCGGAAAGACAATTTTTTCATAATATTAGAAAACATATATCCTATGAATCCTTACAGGAAGGGCTTTGGAAACTTCACATATATTTTAATTCTTTTTTCTTTACTGTGGTTTTGCAAAAGATTTTTTAAAAGATCTCCTCATCGCTTGTTTCTTATAGAAATCAAATTCTGCTGTAAAAATGATGGTGTCTATAGACTGAGGGCCACCCTAGGCTTTGTATAATTCATATTGGCCAGGTGCCTGCTGTGAAGCCAGAATTTTTCTCCCCCCAAAAGACATTTAATTCCATCTGAGCATTAAAATACATATTGGTTGTTATATTTGAGTATCACTCCCTAAAGCCTGAATGTCGATGTGAAAACACAGGACACCTCAGCCTGACTCCGGAGTCCTGCTTCCCCATGGGCCGTTGTTTGGTGATGAATTAGCCGAGCAGAAGACCTCGGGCAAGTGATTAAGTACTTGTGACTCAGAAGAGCAGAGGCCCTTTGAATCTGTGTTGAGACAGTATTTATAAACATAGCCCAGAAACATCACACCATGCGTTAATCTGCTCAGGCTGCCGTAACACACACCGCAGACTGGGGGGCTTAAACAACAGGCACTTACTCTCTCACAGTCCAGAGGCTGTAAGTCCAAGAGCAAGGTGTTGGCAGGCTGGTGCCCTCAGAGGCCTCTTGGCGTGCAGACGGCCGTCTCCTCCCCGTGTCCTCACGTGGTCATCCCTCTGCCTGGCCTTGTCCTCATCTCCTCTTCCATAAGGACACGAGTCAGGTTGGATTAGGGCCACCCCGATGACCTCACTTTAACTTAACAAGTTCTCTAATGACTTTGTCTCCAAATACGGCCACATTTTGAGGCACTGGGGGGTTAGGACCCCACACACGAGTTTTAGGGGAACACAGTTCAGCCCATCACACACCATAATGACCACAGCTACAAAAACAGCCTGGTTGTTTTCATGGCTTGTCTATTGTAAACAATGCTGTAATGAACATGGGGTGCAGGTATCTCTTTGAGTTAGTGATTTTGTTTCCTTCATATAAATAACTAGGAAAGGAATTGCTGGATCATATGGTAGTTTTATTTTTCATTTCTTGAGGAACCTCCCTACCGTTCTCTATAGTGGCTGCACCAATGTACATTCCCACCAGCCGTGCACGGGGTTCCCTTTTCTCCACACCCTCTCCAGCATTTCTTATCGCTTGTCTTTCTGATAATAGCCATTCTAGCAGGTGTGAGGTGACACCTCACTGTGGTTTGGATTTGCATTTCCCAGATGGTCGGTGATGCTGAGCACATTGTCACGTGCCTGTTGGCCATCTGTATGTCTTCTCTGGAAAAACGTCTATTCAGATCCATTGCCCATTTTAAAACGGGATTATGATTATTGTTATTATTTTTGCTAATGAGTTGTATGATTTTCACATATTTTGGATATTAACCCCTTATCAGATATATGATTTTTCTCCCAGTTTGTAGGCTGCCTCTTCATTTCGTGGCTGGTTTCAAGCTGGACCGAAGCTTTTCACTTTGATGTCGGCCCACTTGTTGACTTTTGCTTCTGTTGCTTCTCTCTGACATTTTCTGCATCTTCCTCCTTCTGCCCTTTTGCAGACTGCCCTCCCATCAGAGACCTAGTGGTCCTCAACGTCACCAGCAGCAGCTTTCAAGTGTCTTGGAGTTTAAATTCCACCCAGAACTGCACTTTCCAGGTGCAGGTTTACCAGGCTGAGGAGCTGCTCAGGATCACCAGCACCCGGGGAACGAGCCTGGAGGTGGCTGGGCTGGAGGCCGGAGTGCTGTATGCGGTGAGGACCAACTACCAGGCGTGCTGGGCCAATGTCACCACCACGGTCACTGTCAAGACCGGTAAGGCCACATGTCTGAAATCCACATGACCTGTGAGTCTGTTTCTCCAGCCTAGTCTGCTGGCCCTGGTTATTCCAATCACGTGCTTCCTACGAGCAGGGCAGGGGCCGTCACTGACCTGGCCCCAACTCTCCTGGGGGGCAGTGAGCACGCTCTGTGTCCCGGAGCAGTGCCACGGTGCTCGTGGCCAGCACAGGCTCCACTCGCTCCCCTGCGTCTCATCCTGACTGGGGGCTCTTCTGACACCTGGGGTGATGAGGGCTCTGTGACGATCCCATCTTGCTGTGGTTTGAAGGATGCATAGTGCAGTCAGATAGAGTGAAGCCCAAAGTATAGTAGAGCAGAAGAGGGTAGCGGTTCGCATGCACTGAGGAACTTTTGCCACACTTAATTCCACACGGCTGAGTCTGTATAACTTCCCCAAACCCAAGAGCTGAGCATCTGTAAGATCTTCATGAGGTATGCCTCATCTCCCACGCCGTGCGCTTGCAAAGCTAACACGATGCCCGCTGCATCGGAGCCCTGAAGAAATTTTTGCCCCAAACAAACACAGCGTAGGCATGAATTGGGGATTCCAGTGTCCAGGAGGCAGCTGGTGTGACCCACATGACTCTGCCAGGTGGCCGACCCTGGCCCTGCCCCGTGGTGCCACCTCCCCTCTGCCTGGTCGTGGTGCTACCCCGGTGGTGTAGACCTCTGTCAGGTTCGGCCCGGGGAGTTCCCTCCTAGGCTGGCCTCTGGCAGCGGGACGTGGAAGTGTACGTAGAGACAGTATGGCTCTGAGACATTCTGGTCTGGGGACCAGAGTAGGGGGGGAGACCCAGCCTGGGGGTTCAGAGCAGGCAGAGGGCAGAAATCACTGTATGAAAGATGCTATGGTGAGGGGGGAAGGGTTGGGGGGAGGGGGAGGTTGGGAGTCTGGGACTGACATAAACACACTACTATATTTAAGATAGATAACCCACAAGGACCTGCTGTACAGCATAGGGAACTCTGCTCAATACTCTGTAATAACCTATATGGGAAAAGAATCTGAAAAAGAATAGATACATGTATATGTAACTGATTCACTTTGCTGTACACCTGAAACTAATGCAACATGGTTAGTCAACTATACTCCAATATAAAATAAAAATTTTTTAAAAAAGGACCCTCTGGGGGTCTTGTCTCACAGGTAGGGATAACGCCAGTGACAGTGATGGTGGCAGTGAGTGAGTGAGGGCTGCGGGGATCTGTCCTACACCCTTTATGCACTGATTGGGGGCTGACCCATGCTAAATGGCAAACACGCAGAACAGGCCCCCAGAGGGGCCCCAGAACCCCAGCCATGCAAAAACTCGAGCCCTTGACTTTGCACAAGCCTCTAATTTCCAAACTGGTGCCATCGCACCTTCTTCTTTTATTTTCAAGTTGCTCCACGGAGAAAATGGGGGGGAACACTGTTTTCCCTTTGAGGAAACTGGGACCGTGAGGGGCTCCATCCCCACAGATCACTTCCACCCTCTGTCCCCCCCCAACTCATCTCAGAAGTGAAAATTGGTGGGACCAACATCCCAGCGGGAATTCATCTCAGTTGGGACGGGCGGTAGGAACATGCAGCTCTGCCCCAACCCCATGGACTCTGTGCCCTCAGGAAAAAATACCTACATTCCAATGCAGAGGAGATAATTTGGAAGATTCCATAAGACTCCTGATTTCCAGCTTATTCCTTCCCCAGCTGGATTCTCATTCCTTGTCTGTATGCCTTATGTTTGCAGAGCCCTGTTTTTTTTTTTTTTTAAGAAGCTCGATTCACTTTAAAGGTCTTAGCTAATTAATTTGACATTATTAAATGCTTGCTATGTTGGAGGCCATAGAGATTATCGTAGCAGTGGAGACCCAGGGCCTCACGGTAAGTCTGGATTCCCGAAGCACTGGTGGATACTCACCTCCCGAGAGGCTCTGTGATGTGGGCAGGACCGGAGCCTGGGAATCCCGGGCCCTAAGGGATACTCGTTCCGCTTGCTAAGGTGGGAAAAGGTTCAGAGGGGCCCCCGTCTAGAAATGTACGCTATACAACGTTGGTGTCATTTCTGGGGCTGTGTGCGTGCAGCGGTGATAAACTCTGCCCCACCGGCCCGAAGCTCACTGGCTGGTGGAGAACCAGGGTGGGACAAACTGTGAGTGCCTTTAGATCATTAGAATTTAGATCATTGCTGCAGGGTCTGCTGTGTATGTGGGTTTCATTCTTGGTAACGAAAGAGACGTGCTCCCATGTCCCATCTTGAACCTTTTCCAGCTTCACTTATGTCCAAAGAAAAGGACACGTCCCTTACAGGCTGACCAACCCTATCGTTTTGTCCGGGACAGAGTAGGTTCTTGAGAGGTGGGACTTCTGGTGGGGAAATTGGAAAGTCCCAGAGAAATCAGGATGAACTTGTCACCTGAGTGTCAGGGGCCTGGCTGGGGCGTGTGCCAAGGAAATCAGCGGCCACACTGGCTGAGGAATTGCTGGAGGGGCCTTCGGACCCTACATGGCTGGTTGAACCCCAGTTCCCGCCGGTGTGAGCCGTGTGACATCTGTAACTTGCTCCCCTGCTTTGGCTCTAAAAGTGTGTGTTTATGTCTGAGTTCCCTTCACTCCAGCGTAGAGGCATATATTCCTTACGCTGATTTCCCCCAATTTGGCTACCAAACCTAAGACTCCTGCCTCAATCTGTTTTCTAAAAAATACTCCTCCAAAGCGTAGGGGAGATTGGAAACCAGTGACAGAAGAGCGTGTGACTCGTGCTCACGGGATTTCAGCTAATCTGTGTCATTGTCTGTCTCAGATGCCCGGGTGTTCGAAGTCACAGTCAGAATCCTAAACCGCAACGTGACAGAGGGGCTGCTGGACCCTGGGAGCCCCGAGTTCCAGAACTTCTCCCAGCAGCTGCTGCACGAGGTAAAGCCTAGCAGAGGAGCTTTCCGAGAGTCGGAGCCAGAAACCCGCCCTGTGCGGGTGTGAGACACGTGCCCCTCACCAGGGCTAGGGAGGGGCCAGACTCAAATCCCACGGTCATTGCTCGAAATGCCCCCTTTTATGCATGACTTAAAATAGGTTTGGGGACAAACCAACTTTGATTCAAATGGGCTGGACCACTTGATGGCTCGGCTGGGTTTTTTGTCGAACCTTCTGTTTGGGGGACCTGGGGCCTCTGCCCTCCTTCTTTGGGGCAGCTTCATTGAGTACACATTTACCAGTGATCAAATCATCCGTTCCTTCCTGGGGCTGAAGGCGGGCACCAGCATGAGGCTTGGGAGAACCAGGCCAGTAGCAGCTATCATCTATCCTGGGATGCTGAGCTGGAGAAAAAAGGGACTTGCCAAACTGTCAGTAACTGGGAAAGGTCTAGGATTTGGCCCTTCCTGCAAGCTAGTAAGTTAGCCTGTTGCATGGATGCTGGCAGAGGACACGAGATGCCTGGGTCAGAGACAAAGGAATCCCTCACTCACAGCACAGCAGGTGGCACGGGCATCACGTTGGTGCCAGGTCCCCTGCTGGCCCCCAAGTCCCACGGGGGGTGATGCAGAGGGAGCCCGGTGGGTGACGCACATGCAGTGCATCTGCATCACAGCTGAGGACCCCCATGCAAACCTGCCTAAACCTTGCTCCGGAGAGAGACGTTATCTTTACCACATCAGACGGTGAACAGATCTGCTCTGTGCTCTGGACGGGGCCATCCTCTCTCTCCCAAGGCTGTTCATCATAGAAACGTCTTGGAAAGATATTCTGAAACAAGAGGGCAATTCAGGCTTCTACTTGCAGGATGTGTGGACATGGGAGGGATGGAAGGAGGGTCGCCTCTCAATGTTCACTTGCAGAGAGGAGTTGGTTTTTGAACTTTCCTGGAGAATTCTCCCTTGTTTCTAGCAGTAATTCGCCTGTGGGTGCAGAAATGGTGTAAGAGGGTCTCCTTGCTCGGGCACAGGTGGCCCTGATCACCTGGCTGTGCCTATGTTTCCTGGGGATACAGCCCAGTGGGAAGGGGACAGCTCCGAAGAGCCACGTGATTGCTGCTTTCGTCCATCAGTCCATCCAGCCATCTCTCTCACACACACATTATCTTCGCACCGGTTTCCAGGGCACCCAGAGTGGGCCGTGCATCTAGGGCTGCAGGACGGAGATCCGACTGTCATGGTCTCTGAGTCCTTACCAAGATGGAGCAGGCCCAGCCCACTGTCCCAGGGCTGCAGTGAGCTGGGGTGGGTAACTCTGCTGTCCCCAGAGGAGGGTGGCTGGGCGCCTCCTCTTGGTCAGGAAGAGGATACGTGGATTCTGTGCACCATCCATGTGTCACACCCGGGGCCCCGCTGACTGGTTTTGAAGACTTTGATGGAAAAGTCTGCTGCACCTGAGCATCTGTTGCCTCTTCTGGGCCAGGTTGCAACCTCCTTTCCGCCGGCGCTTTCTGACTTGTACCGAAGAGGGAAGCTGAGGATGCAGGTCGTGTCTCTCCGGGCCGGAAGCTTGGTGGTGAGGCTCAGACTGACGGTGCAGGACCCCGAGTTCCCGGTGGGCGTGTCCACGCTGTCCCCCATGCTCCCACCTCTGTGGGCGAGCACCGTGTTCCAGGTGGACCAGTCGGAGACGCTTGTGCAAGGTGGGTCCTCCTCTCCATGCCCAGGGTGTGCTGCCCCGATGCCCTCCAAAGTCCAGGCTGCGTTAGTTCTGATCAACATTCACTTTGTTCCAAAAGATAAAGCAAATGAACTTTGAGTCCGTATTCTGTGTTCTTCCTTGGGGACTGGGGCCTAGGGCTGCCGCCCCGAAACAGTGAGCCCACCTGTGTCCCACACCTCCTATTCCTGACGGGAGAAGCACCCCTCGGAGCTCAGGGACGCTTATTCCCTTCGATGGTTTTTCTCAGCTGCCACCAGAACCCAGGGTGGAACCAGGCTGGAGGGTCCACGACAGGCACAAGGACAGGAGCTTACTGTGTCTGCATCCGGGCCCAGCACGGCCTGTCTGCTGTGCGCCTTGTTAACATGGAGATCTATTTCATTAGCCCAAAGGCTTGTAATTTTACTTGGTGATACAGGAAGTCACAGAGTAGGGAAGAGGGGGGAGATGGAGAAA